TATAAAACACACTTTTTTATGTTTGAGATTATTTAAAATTCTAATTGTATTTTGCATATTTTTTGTGCAAATTCATAAGCATTCAACAAAGCACAAAAAGGGAACTAAAAGGTGTAATGTAAATTTGCATCGTATATAATTAATCGTTATTACTTGAAGTATTCTCAGTTATGTACTACAAATAAACTCTACATGCAGTTCTACATAAAATTATTTATACATTTGGAATAAATTAACAGAAATAAAGCAACAACTACGTTAAATTATGCTTCAAAAAAGTTTGAATTTTATTGGGAGGGTAAAAGGTAATCAAATTTCATCAATACTTCCTGATAATAAATAATTATTTAATAACTTAACTTGTGTCACACTATACATTATTATAATCGCAATATAAAACATATCGTAGAATTCGTTGAGTGGCAGTTTCCAACAAACATACTCTTTCGATTCGACTTTTAGAATCAGAAAAATCGAAATTAACCCTTCGCAACCTCGCTAACGCAATAACTTTAACACTGTGTAATATTAATAACCAATACTTGATTGTTCATAAGAACTAAAAATCCACTACAAAACAACTTTAATTTATACATAGGTAACTGCAAATTAATTTAATATTGTCCCAAAACTGAATGATATATAAATAAGTGTAATCCACGACAAATACAAGAGGTTAACCCTCTTAGATTAAACATTCCCGTCTCATAATGGTCTACGAAGGGTAGGTACATAGACATTTTTAAAACGTCATCTCTAATATAGAGACAATGAACAAAAACTTCTGTATTGATTTATATGCGATGTTCCAGTCAAAAGGCAATTAGTTGTATAGAAAAATGCACGACAGTAGCAAAAGTCTCGAACGATGCAATTTCGTCGAATAGTTTTTATCTAAAGAGGCACGATTTTGGAAACACCCTGTATAATGTTTTCCGTTAGAAAATATCGTGTTTGTTTTGAAAAGGCTGTCAATTCTTTGTTTAGAAAAATATATCGATCACGATTTTGCGTAATAATCGACATTTAAATCGTAATTCTTATTACTATTCGTACACGTACAAATATTTTTTTTACATACATACATTAGAAATCTTTTATATACACATATGCGCGCACCGATACACATTTGGAAAAACTCGCTAATGAACAAGAATTAAATTAATTTAGCGTTTGATTCTTCTACAAAATTTAACTCTTCGTTCCATGCAACACTAGTTTATTAATCGTTTTACTTTACATAAAATAAGATTTTTATTATCAAAAATATTTAGTTTCGAATCAAATAATACATTAGCAAATAATCATAAAATTAGGAATTACATAACTTTCATTATTTCTAATTACACTTCGTATATTATGACATATGATTATATGCAATATGAAGTATTTTTTAATGTAAATTTCTTGAAAAATCAAAATTTAATTTGTTCAATATAAAGAGGCACTTTAACAAATTATAAAAGATTCAAGTATAAGAAATTTGCAAACTCATTTATTACAAATTCAATTAAAAACTTGCAAGCATATTTATTACAAATTCATTTTACTATGACGTATAATTGTTTTGTGTATCTATACTACATATTCATTTTTAAAAACTGTTTTACAATTCTAGCATTGCTATTATTAAAAAAACGAAGAGTCAAATTGACGCTTCAATTCTAATACTGCCTTACGATTTCATAACTGAAGCCGATTTAATATCATTCTTATTCTTAATCAGTTTTAAATTTAAAGCAATGATTCGCAACTTTTCGATGGTTTAATGATTTGCAAGTGTTAAGTGTTGCCAATCATTGCTCGGAAAATATCAGAACCGACCGAGTTCTACATGAAATTTAAATGTTCCTAGGAATCAATTCATGGACACCTAAAACATTTATAATGTATTTCAGAACATTAAAAAATTATCGCATTGTAGATATGTGGTTTATAAACTGTAACTTTAATTATAATTTCATAATAAAATTATCTAATTCAGTTGATCTACCTAAATTATGTCTTAATGTGCAAGAATTCCTTATCAAAACTTACTAAAAAGTATTTCAGAT